AGATAATGATTTCAATGCCCTTCGTTATTTTTTTATACCAAATGGCAGGTGTTTTGATAGTCATCATTAACCCTTTAGTTGACTTCAAGATTCACAGAGGGGGAGGAACATCAAAGTGAAAAAGTCGAGATGGGGTGGGGGGTGGAACAGTATAGTGTTTCTAAGATGTTGAAGAGGCAGACAGACACAAAGGTAGAAAAAAAGGTGAGGTGAGTACTGTGAAAGTGGTGGAATATGACATTCAGTGGGGTCATGGTAGTTTGAAGTCAGAAGTCAACTGCCGGTTAATAGACTTTTTTGCCGTATGATTATACGTTGCCCAGGGTGCACCACGTGGAGGTCAGTCTATCGCACAGCCCATGCCCTTCGTTATAAACTGATTCTCAATAGTCGGGTATTCTACTTGTAGGCTTTGCCTAAACTTATTTAGACAAATATGGTGTTCACGATTTAGTAATAACTGATCATTGGCTATGACAAGAGATTAGAGAAATCTTAGAATAAGGGGGAGGGGTAGTCCGATAGAGGGGTTCAATAGGAGTTGAGAGGGGGGGGGGGCGAGAATGGATTCGAATCGTCAAAACATTTGTGCTTCAGTTAGATTTTGGATTTGTCAGATTATCCACGCTTGCTTCACATACAACAGGTCATTGTTATGCTTCACATGGTTCGTACTTCTGCTTGACTTCTAACTTTTTGTTAAAGTGCTCTTTCTCCAGTATTTAAAATTTTTTAGTCAGGTGATTGGATTTAGTTGTACCATAGCAGAGGCCTCTATTCAAATTTCTTTGCTCTCTTATATCCAATAATTCCACTCGCATGAATCCAGCTTTCCGCTTCCCAAAACTTCACAAAATGACGTTTAAAGTAGCAATTTTATAAGTTTTTTCGCTCCTACAATGACCTTTGTGTTGCCACAATTGACTCAATGCGAATAATGTCCCAATTAACTATTTTTTGACAAAAGGCTTGAGAATAAAAATCAAGCAAATAGAGAAGCAATTATTATTATTATGATTTTTTCGAAAATATTTTCTTGTAAATGCAATGGCTTTAATAATGTATTGTTCTCATCGCTTCCTCGTCGATCATATGTTCGTGATTAAAATGAATTGTCTTTTGGCTTGAGAACTGAATAAAATATGAGAATTAGGCCTTGGTGTTATCTACCATTGAATTCCCTGGATATTCGTCAGAGGGAATTCTTTAAATTGTCATTCAACACTCGAATAAGGATGTCACTTTATAACCTATAATTAAATGTTAATGTGGATGGTTTCTCCCAATTCAATTTTGAGATAAAGATAAAATTTTGTGAATTCTCTAATGTGAACACAATGGAAGATTTCAAAACATTGTAGAAGGTCTTATAAACATTTAAACAAGCTAAATTCTTGAATTGAGTAATGTCGATCAACCCCTTTCGTATAAATCAAAGAAATGTATAAATGGAAGTAATCGAGATCACCAAACAGATTTTTTTCGCCTCTCATTTTGAAACTTAAAGGAGCTTCCCTACCCAACTCACATATTTGGATCTTTAATAGTATCTGAAATACCGCGTTAAGATTGGCTAAATGTCGCTATCAAGCTGTAAATTATCTGCTCTGGTCTTGTGAACAAGCCAGTCTTGGCAAAAGCCAGTACATCTTTGCTGCAAATTGAGGGTGGTTTAGGCTAAATGGGTAAAATGTGCACTTTTATCATGCATATAAACGATCTGTGAAATTTTGTTTGGTCTTACGCGCTCATCTCTCTATGTGCTTGACCGCTTTGGGTGTTGTTTGCTGTTTAAATTTGTGAACGAAAATCAAGGACACCAAGCGTTTAGGAGAATCTCATGCCAAATGGCCTGCGAATTGGGTAAAATATGATTTCTCATAGCAATGAATCTAATTTGAATGTACTTTAGTCAAGAATTGATGATAAATAATGACCACACCTTTTCCAGTCGTTTTTAATGGCCATATTTTTGCTTATGTAGATTAAAAGTTGCTTAACAATAAACATTCTGACTTATTTTTTTTTCCAATAATTGGTATACGTTTTGAACAAGAAAAATTACGAGTCAAAAGTGGGAAATGCCAAGGCCTCACTTTTGACAGTATGTCATGAGTAAAAGACCTTTTCTAAATCCTAAATTGTTTACTTTTTGAATGGAATAAAGAATCTCAAAATGAACTTCCCTATATAAGTACTTTATTTATTTGTATATTTTTCTTGTTTTTCGCCAATTAATTGCAGTTTGTAAGAAAATCACCATTTTGTTATTACAAGCCATTTTTGCATAAAGTCTGTTTGTGAAAAATTCACCCTGTAGATGAGAGAAATTATTTTTGCTTCAATTTAGCAAAATCTTCATTTTCTCACGAATAAATTACGCGTTCAAAGCGTGTGTGCTGGTTCAAGGTGCGCTCGTTGTTGAATCACAAAAGGAAATTATTTAAATTTTATTATTTTTAAACAGAAAAATTACAATTGTACTTAACCACAGTTCAGTACTTTCAGTTGAAAAGTTCTGAATGCAACTTTATTCTTAATATCTTGGATTTTAGGCAAATATTCAAAATCTAACTCAACCAAATTTTGATATTTTATTGTAATACATTCCGGGAATTTTCCAAGATATTCTTTTACTGCTCATTCGTCCCAAATAGCAATCATAGCAATATTTAAATGTCCATCAAAGCTTATAAATCAATAATTGATGATTCATTACACGAAGGCTGATTTCTACTCAACTTAAACCGAATTTAATCGATTTAATTCGTACTCATTCTTTGTGTCTTTATAGCTATTCATTTTTGATTGATTTTGTCTAATTTACAACTTATGGTAAATTTCGTCTGTGTTCTCTACATTTGGTTAATTAGATTGTTGTCTTAGTTGGTATTTTGGCTATTCTGAGCCTAAGTGCTCGAATTGTCAAGTTAGGCAGGAAAGACAATGATTTTAGGCAGAAAGAATGCTTTATTGTCAACAGTGAAAAACAATGACATATTCTTCTTTTGAAAAGATAGAGACATGGTTGTTTAATTGTGCCAAAAAAACATGTTCATTTTTCTCCTGAAATGCAATATCCTCAAATTCTCTAGATTTCTTCATTTTATTGTTATCTACGGCATTAAAAACAATCTGTGCACGTTTCAACCATGGATTAGCATTCAAACACTCGAAATCGTCCAAGATTGGTAGAAACGATAAGCCAAATGAAAGCCTATATCGAAATGCAGAAGTTGCAGATATGCTGATATAATTGTGTGGTCCTTCGCGCCAAATTGATTCATGTGGATCTCTTCTAACAGCCAAGATCAATTTGATATGACTTTCAAGGTCACTCTAAACCGTACAAAGATTGGAAAGTTTCACTCGAGGAGAGGGCGGGGGGTTGTGTCAAATAGAAAGGCGATCCGATTGTATTTTAAACACAATTATAATGTAATAAAATTTCAAGAGCCTTTGTTTACTATTTACTATCTCAAAAATATGTGAGCTTTTAGGTTGCCATATTTTTTGATTCCATATTGCATAATGCCATAATTTTGTAAAAACAATCTGTTTCAAACCCTAACTAGTGACGTTTTTGATCTAACGCATGATATAGATCTAAAATTCTCCAACCCAGTCAACTTAGATGTAATTACATTTCTAGCTTAAAGCATTCTTTTTCTTGGTCTTAAAAGTATCTTTGAGGAATTTACAATGGATAAATTTGTATTATTTGTATTCCTAATTAAGTCGACATCTATTGAACATGATCCAACTTCACTACTCCCTCGCAATATGCCCCTTTTTTACGAAGATCTGATCAGGTTGTTATCAGTCTCCATTAACATGATGTTTTTTCCATTACTTTGACAAGCATATAGTTTATTCCTTTGTTTAGTATGCGAATATAAATTTAATCCACTTTAACTTCCATGAATTTGGAAAGTGCTTGAGAGACTACTGCAATATTAAATAAAATGTGTATTGCATTTCAGCTCAAAGATGCGATTTTGAATGGAACACATCCTGTGAACTTGGAGGAGGCGGTAACCTTGGCTGCTCTCCAATGTCAAGTGGAACTCGGAAATTACAGCCCAACAAAATTTAGACCTGGCTACCTAGAGTGAGTCCGCCACCTTACATTTGACTATACTTGCTACTTATTTAATTGAGATACTTGTAAGCTACCTCTATTCTTGCATAATTTGCTTATTAAATTCAGTTTAGAACTGATTTCTTATTTCAAAAGTGTTTCCGATAACCTTGTCTTGAAGATAGTATTGATTTATATTCCCACTGTTTAATATTGTGCTACACAAGTTGTTGAAAAGGTTTGCCGGAAGTTGCCGATTAGGCATGAAATTCATAATTAGTTCTTACTAATGACTTTTTAATCCCTATGCTATAAATAAATGTACATATCTATGTATATGCATATATATATATATATATATATATATATATAATGTTATTGAGGTTTAAAATTAGCCTATCCTATTGCTAACTGACATAAAAACAGTAATTTTCTGATATCAGCGCTGGCTATAGACTTTTCCCAGATCCGCTTAAATGGTAGTTCTTCAATTCAAGTTGAAAATTGAAAAATGAGTTTAAGTGTCTCTTCAGCTGAAAGCCCATTATTAACCAGACTGCACCTGTGTGGTAGGCCATTGCGACCATCGACGCGTTTTCATGGTCGTCTTCGTTGTAGGTTCTATTTCGACGGCATTTGGCCGATCATTTTTTTAACACACATAGCTGTACTTTTTTATTAAATTGATCAATCAATAATTTTCATATTTATCTTTGGATCTTCAAAGCGAAATAAATCATATAAGGAGTTGTTTGTCCCTTGTTTTTTTCCCTGTAAAATCAATCAATTAAATATTTCAAATCTGGCTTGAAAATGAATACAGTGAACTTTGTTTAAATCTTTTGACACCAGAAAATCGATCTAATATTTTTGTATTTTGTACTTGTATTTTTGTAACTTGGAAACGGAAGTTGCTTCAACAGTTCCCGTCTTTCAGAGCCAATAACATTTGCATTCTAAAATTACGTGTTTTTAATTAAAATATTATTTTGTTTAGGTAGTTAAGAGACATAGTTAGAATAGATTCGCCGAGAAATTTTTTCATTGAGTTGGTTCAGTCAAACTCAAATGATAAGGGTGTGTTCAACGTGGTCGTCTTCCGTGTTATTGGTCGTACGATTAAAACTCATCAATGTTCACCTATTGAAGTGGATGACCGACAATATTTGTCTGATCAAAGTGGGAGAGTGGGGATTCCCGTTTCTCCTTAGAGTGGCTCTTTAGTACATTCTCTCTTTACTTAGTGTTTCGGGAATTCGATTCCCCTTATCCACCGACGGAAAAAGAGCACTCATATCAAGATGTCTTTCAAATTTAGCCTAGTTCATATTTTTATTGTCTCGTTTCGGCGTCCTAAATAACTGTGTTAATGTAAGGTTATGCCACCATCGATATAAACCCCGCCTTTGCGACATCGCTATTTGACCACGAGGTTACAGTTGACCAGGCCACAAATCAAGTAAAATAATTATTTATTTATTTATTTTTATTCTAGCAAAGAGTAGCTAGCATTTTTGTATTCGAATGTGAATAACCCAAAACTTTCTATATTCGAGCGATCTATTAAAACAAAAATCATGAAATTAATTTAGATTATTGATTCATGGAGAACGTAATGACATTTGTAGAAATGCTTGCCTTTCCGTTCCAATAATATTTCCTGAAAAATGCCACTCGAGAAGCTAAATGCAAAAAGTTCATCCAGCACTCTGACCGCCAAAAAGATTTGCATGGCATTGGCAATGAATATCGCTATATAACAAAATAATGCAGAAATGTTGTCCATATGCAAAATAAAGGCCATTTTGTTTTCTCTATTATTCTATTCATGTTATTAGCATTATTTCATTTATTAATGCAGAATCACTAAACACTCCCTTCTCTCTACAACAACAAATTACTGCCTAAATGTTCATATTTTTTCGCCTCCTCCAGCCTTAAAGACTACCTTCCAAAGGAGTTCCAGAAAGTGAAGAGCGTGGAAAAGAAGGTATTCCAGCAGCATGCCACTCTGAACGGTCTGACTGATATTGAGGCTCGAGTGAAGTACTGCCATTTCTGTCGATCGCTGAAAACTTACGGTATCACCTTCTTCCTAGTCAAAGTAAGTTCTTTTGAATTCAAAATTTATTACGTCAATTCATCTCTTAACAATTCTGAACTTTTATGCCGAGTTTTGTTGGAAAGCCTCTTTTTCTCTAAAAAGAAGGTACGCCATTTGACATCTTCTTGGCCGAGTTCTTCTAATAGACCCCTGAGTAATATGAGCGAAAATGCTTTAGGTTTCTTGAATTTGATTGACAAAGCACATCTGAATACTTCAGTGAATTTCGTTCCCGCGAAGGAAGAGGTAATAGGGATTACCACAATGAAAATTGATTGGTCGGTCAAAGTACATTACCCAAAAAGTAAAGGAAGGGAAGCCCACTTCAAACCGCATTCAATTTGTAGAATGAGCTTTATTACATTTAACTCATACTTATTCCCTGCAAAATTGCAAACTTTTCATATCTGTCGAGTTCGATTTTGTTCAAAATTTGAGTTACGAAGATGCAATATTATAGAACTTGAATTCAACATGACCCTCCATTCCTGTCAGAGTTGCATCTGACTGCAGGAGTCCTGACATCTTTCTCTTTTTCTAATTCTATTTTACCAAACCCGCTGGAGTAAAATATTTTATTTATTTAAAATGGCAGGCGTTTTGATAGATATCATTAGCCATTTAGCTGACTTCGGGCTTCACGGAGGGAAGGTTCATCAAAGTAGCAGAAAGTCGAGGGGTGGGGAACAGAAGAGCGATTCACAGATGTAAAAGAGGCAGACAGACACAAAGGTAGAGAAAAAGGTAAGGTTAGTACTGTGGAAGGGGTCGAATATGACAACCAGGGGGGTCGTGGTAGTTTGAAGTGAGAAGTCAACTGTCAGGTAATAGACTTTTTGCCTTATGAGTATACGTTGCCCAGGGTGCACCACGTGGAGGAAAGTCTATCGCACACCAGATATTTACAAATATAAAATAAGCCAATCTTAATTATGGCACTTGTATGATTTATGAGTTCTGAATTAGAATTTGGGCGTATTTTGATGTTTTCTCAAACGATTGAAAATGGGAAAATTATTGGGAGCATTAGCGAATGAAGCTACTGAAATCGATAGACTTTTATTTCACAATTCTTCATTCTTATACTTATCTCCCTGCATATCGTGATTTCGATAATAGTTTGTTTTTCATGATCAAGACGTTAATATTTTCGCAGTTGTTTATGACAATTTTTAGGGCGCCCTTAACACTGTAACGTTTTCCTGTTTACCTATTGCTAACTGCGTTAAATATTTTTCAAATTTCATTAATGAAAAATCGCTTCCTTTCATCGGCATTTCAGGAAAAAATGAAGGGTAAAAACCGTTTAGTTCCTCGGCTTTTGGGAATAACAAAGGACAGTGTGGTTCGGCTGGATGAACGTACCAAAGAGGTTGTGAAAGTTTGGCCACTTACATCAATTCTCAAATGGGCAGCATCTCCCAATGCATTTACTATGGTAAGTCAAGCGTTTACAACGGAAAATTTATAAATTCCCAAAATGTGTAAACCAGATTATCTGTCTTCCCGTCGCTCTCTCTCCCTGTGATTGGTTCACTGATGCTTGCGTTTATTTCCATTGGTAGTCATTTGCTGCTATTGGTTACTGCAACATCTTGGCAGTGAGCCAGTGGATTTATTTCTGTGGGATGGATATTTCAACAGCTGTATTGTTTATTTATTTATTACTTCCATTAACCCTTTAACGCCTGAACTGTTTTTTTTGAAAAATGCACCCAATCGCACTCACGCGTGTCTCGCAACAGGCATGCCTATGTGATGAGTTTTGGAGGTGTCAGGCGAAGGCTATAGATGTATCGAACATGTTCCAAACGATAATAGAGCCTTCTTTTGCCAGTCTATTGGCAATGGAGCTTATTTTGAAAGAGGACCGTACTGTCTTAAGGGAGTTAAAGAGTTAATACTTGTTGATCTTTATTTCCCGAAAGAGATATGGATCATATTTTGGAAAAAGAATGCAATTCTATTACATTTTATATAATTTTAAACTAATTATTACGGAAGTATTAAGATCCATGTTTATAACAAAGCGTAAATTTGCTGAATTATAATTTGGGGTTATTTTTAGAGTAGTCCTGAGAACTTTTGGCATTTCTGAGGTCAATTGGAAATTAATTTCTTTTCTCAAAAAGCATAAACTATTATTTTTATTAGATTTTTGTAAATTGCGGCAAAGTGTCGAAATTTTTAAAAAGAAAAGCAAGTTTGTCTGCGCTTTCACTGTTCTCAGAGAACTTTTACATCATCGCAGCTTATTTGGTTTAATACTTTTTTATCGGGTGTATACTATCGTAAAATGTTCGTTCACTTTGAAGATCTGGGTTTTATTCGTCAGAGTCGGGGAGTGGGGGGGGATAGATTTTTGAAATCAAAGTTTTCTTCCCATTTTTTGTTGTGTAAAGATGATGTCAACTTGGCCTCCATATCCTGATACTTGTCGTGCTAAAGTTATGAAGGTGATTCCAGATTAAGTTAATCCTGTCGGCCGTATTTGAAGGGTCATTTACTTCAAGAAATACCAATCTGGTTGTGTGACCAGTGGATCCCTGTTCAACACTTAAACTGCTTTTAGTCACCAACTTTGTGTTAGCTCAGAGAATGTTAATTGAAGCTCGAAGCTGTTGTGATCATGGTATGCTCTCCAAAATACTCAATTCCCATGGGTTTTAACTCCAAATCCGCATTCATCTTTTCGATATATGAGCACACACCGCTTCTGCCATCAACTACTACAAATGGTTTGCATTGAAAGGAGTTTGACAGAGATTAGGTACATGTTCCAATAAAATACGATTGGCAGAACGTAAGAAGCCCACGCAGCTCATCTGTCTGGACGCACTCAGTAGTGCCCACCGCATCTGGAACTCCAGTTAGTTCTTTTTTCCAGACACGGAGGTGCTACTCATTAAAATGCTAGAATATGATTGGGCAGTTTAAATTACAAAAACTCCTATTGGCTAGCCCGATCCCATGCCTATACGGTCTCCATTGGCGCCAGATCACATAAATTGAATACAAATAGACTAAAGAGGTGAACACCTCTGTCGTATGTGAGCGAACATTTATTTATACCAAATGGCAGGCGTTTTGATGGCTATCATTAGCCCTTTAGTTGACTTCAGGCTTCACAGAGGGGAAGGAACATCAAAGTGATAATGGCAGGCATCTTGAAGGTTATCATTAGCCCTTTAGTTGCCTTCAGGCTTCACAGAGGGGAAGGAACATCAAAGTGAAAACAAGTCAGAGGCTTCACAGAGGGGAAGGAACATCAAAGTGAAAAAGTCAAGAAGGGGGGGGGGACACAAGGGTGTTTCAAAAATGCAAAAGAGGCTGACACAAAGGTAGAAAAAAGGTGAGGTGAGCACTGTGGAAGTAATCGAATTTGACATACAGTGGGGTCATGGTAGTTTGAAGTCACAAGTCAACTGCCAGTTGATACCCTTTTTTTGCCGGATGAGTATACTTTGTCCGGGATGCACCACATTGAGGTAAGTCCATCGCTCACCCCTGTGAGCGAACATTCACCACAATGTTAAAATGGGGGTATACTTGTACTTTATCATTTTTTTAAAGCAGTGTTCCAATGGAGGATGTCAAAGGGAACTATCCTGGTTTAATTTTACAAGGTATAGATCCTTTATTCATAAAACGAAGTTAATTAAGATCAAATGACTTTTATTGGTCTTGTCTTGTTAACCTTCGGTTCAATGGTTTAGAGAATTCTTGTACAATTTGATCTCGAAGGACGACTCCTATTCTTACCTTATTGGTTAGGTTTGCACTTGCACTTTTCGTGCAAGAAATGTCCTTTACCCCAACACTTTTACAAAATAAAGGTCAAATGAATAACGCATTGAAAACTATGGTTTTATTACTTGTACATATTGGGATATCACAATTTGGGTCATACCCTATGTTTTCTAGACACAAATGCTATCTTTCTTGTCTGTGTCTAATTTATATTTGTCGACAATTACCTCTTCGTAGCATCTAATAATAATTTGTTTGTTAGAAATTTGTAATGCTATACTACTTTAAGGGGTTTTGGTCACTGATATGCCCCAAACTTCAACTGAAGTCCATTGTAACTACGCTATTTCCGATCAACACTGAGTAGAGTTTATTCTAGTTCATTTATTAGGTACGTGAGAATACTCTACTCAAGAGTACTTTCGCAAGAGATCTCTAGTGCCCGGGGGTAATTAATTTCAATCGCCTATTTCTATGATTTCGGTTTTTTATACAGAAAATAATTTATTTATTTATTAATCAATTCCTTCTTTATTAATTCAATTAATTCGTTGATATTTTCAATTTTATTGAAATTGGAGATATTTTTTTGTTCTTCCTGATTTTGAATCACCTCATATTTGTTGCTTACAAGTAATTTATGATTTATTCAACGATTGTCATGGGTTTAGGGATCTAGTTACTTTTTGGTGTAGATCTACATGATGGATCTCATATTTCAACCTTGCATAACCATACTATGCTGTTCATATAACTTGCACTAAAACTATACATTGCGTTGTTAGTTGAACCCAATCGCTAGTGGAAGAAGTAATATCGATATCTTCTGGCACCATGGAAATTGCTCATGCATTTCCAAATTCTGAATAAGGAAAGCTAACGTTTGTCTTTTTTACACAGAAATTCCACCATATCATGGGATCGCTCTTCCTCTTCGTATTTATCATTAGATTTAGTAAGCCTATTAGTTTAGTCACTTAAATTGAATTAAGCAGTATTGCATAATTCAATTATTGTAATTATTATGTCGAATAGTTGGTTATTTTTGAAGGTATGAAGAAATGACATTTGCCATCGTAGCTCACTTTTAGTACTATTTTTATAGAAATTTTCCCTCTTTGATGCAGGATTTTGGAGAGTATTCACCGGATGAGTATTACACAGCCCAAACAGCAGAAGGTGAACAAATTTCCCAACTCATCGCTGGCTATATTGATATTATTCTGAAGAAGCAGAAGGCAAGAGATCATCAAGGACTCCAGGGTGATGAGGAATCGGCAATGTATGAAGAGAACGTCCGAGCTGAACGGTACGTTGCATTCATTTGCCAGAAATTTAAAGTAATCTTTCTTTGTCTCATCCTTTAAATGAGTTTGTATTTCCATTCTGTCGGAGTGCCCTCGAATTTTCCTCGATTTGCTTCGACGAACAATTTTCTCTTACCAAAAGGATAAAAGATTTGTGCCTTTGAAATGCCAGTAGATGTGTGTATTCAAGGGTACTGGTCACTGATTTCCAAAATTCGTGGTTAAATAGAAATTTAAGCCAGCTATTAAACTAACGTTCTTTGACATTGTGATTCACTCTAATTTGATCATCTAGTTTCGTATAAAGTGTGCATCCTTGAATGGTTTTTATACAGTGGAGAGAGGTTTATTTTATAAACTAGTAACTATAGTAACTAACTAAATTGACCTTTTACGGTCATGTGGGTAAGGTTGTCATCTTAATTAAAATGGGGAATGAATTTACCCAATTTTCGACTTTTGTAAACTGCCCATTAGATTTCTTTGGAGTATATTCCACTCAACCTAGTTAGTGAAGATTAAGGCAGCATATGATTAAACAATAGCATTGGAACGGTATTTGTCACGCTGTCAAGTGTTAATGTACTTGCCGGTAGAGAAGGCTAATGGCCGATTTTGAGACTTGGGAAATTGATTATTAGTCTCCTATCTCTTTGTGCTGGTTTGAGGACTGATAAGACAAGAGTATAATTGTTTGATTAAATAATCATAAAAGTACATATGTCGAACGGCAGGGGGCTGAGACACCGATAGATTGGGAATGCCTTAAGGTCATTGATTAATGGCGAAATTGGATACTAATATCTACTCACCTGATCTATTGAGAACGCAATGAATATGGAAAATTAATAACATATCTTCAATATTAATGCTGATATTTGACAGGAGGTCAAAATCGAAGTCAAATATGAGTTTTCATTAAGACTTCCATCTTTTCTAACTGATTATTTTCCCGAAACATCTCCCTACATTTTCTTGAAAAGTATTTATTTATACTGGTATTGAAACTTCTACCAACTTTATTCGCATTTAGATTAACTTTCTTAAAATTATTTACCTTCCAAATCATTTCTTTTAATGTCTCAGAGGTTAATGCGCAGATTACATCCTGAATGAACTGAATGAACACTAGTTCTGAATCGCTACGGAATATACTGAGGTAGGATCCTTTTAATTGACAGTATTGCTATTCGCCATTAGTATTACTATTATTAATTTCACAATTACAAACCTATGTTATTGTTTAGCGTGGAAACAATTAAAATCGGAGTATATGAGTTCTCCCGAAATTAGCAAAGCTATACCAAGAGCATTGATGAGTGAATGGCGCTTGTTCCAATTTTTTGACAACTGCTAGCATGATTATTAAATGACTAGACTTAATTCAACGTCGAATAGGTAGTAGCAGTTGATTAAATCCATCTCTTTGCGATTGATAGCATGACAGCACTTTCCAGAATATTCTAGCGCTCTCGGAGTTACTTTAGTTGGTCCCGTTTGTGTTTTATGGTTCACAAGCTTTACCTTAGGTAAGCCAAGTCCCTATTGTGTGAAGTTTTCTTGACATATTTTTTTCTAGACGTAATTTCTTCTCTTCCAATGTGTTCATTTGAAAGTTTTTTCCCGTAGGTGGTTTTATTTGCATAAAATTCTAAATTGTAAGATTCACAAATATGTTACTCTTTTTTCTCATTACGTTTCGTTTTTATTTTACTGTTGGGAGTTCATGTTCTCGTTTAAACAATTTTCTTATTATTGCAGTTACTTTGAATGTTTAGCTTACTTTTGGTATGAAAATTCTCATAAGTTTACTATTGAAAACGACCATGACTTTACTGCTTTCTCTTTTTGTTTAAATTCAGTGCAAGGTTTGTTCAAAATGAGCGCCGATCCGTGGGACCAGCCGATCGCGAGTCCGAAAGGTTTGCAGTCGAGGAGACAATCGAAAGACAACGTCGTTTGCAGCAACAGACGGTTATTCTGAACGGAGCCTCTCAACAGGTCGAAGTCAATGATGATAACATGGTTGGATATATTGGTACTTCAGAACGTCGGTATATTCAAGCAGGTTCAATACCGACACTGTCGAGTGAAGCTGTTCGAATGAGGTCGAACGACGATTCAACCGACGATTTCTGCACAGGAGGAGTGAGTTTGTCAATTTTTGATCATAATTTTTACTGGAAGCAGACATTCAGTTTGATGCTCTTTTCTAAGGAAAACCCGGGTTATTCCGATATGGAACACTTAACAAAACTAATCAAAATGGTGAAGAGTGATCATCTTTCCATGACCTTTTTATTACTTTAATTGACTACGAACAATTCCAGTTATTACTATCATGTCTATGGACATTTGTCATGTTTCATCCAAGAATTGCCATATCTATTCCTATTTCTGGCTCCGTGTTTAACTAAATACCTCTCCTTATTTTCACAAGGTCATAGACAGATAGAAAGAGTTGATTCACATATGTAAAAGAGACATACAATAGGTAGAAAAAAGGTGAGGCGAGCACTGTGGAAGTAGTCGAATTTGACATACAGTGGAGTTATGATAGTTTGAAGTGATAAGTCAACTGCCGGTTAACAGACTTTTTTTACCGTAGGAGTATATGTTGTCCAGGGTGTACCACGTGGAGGTAAGTCTATCCCACACCCCCTATTTTTAACATAATAACGAACTAAAATCAAAATTTAATTTACACTACTTTGATGTGCAATCTAATTTTATGTATATCAAAAAATTATATTTTACAATTATTTCACTTACACAGTGATAGGGGATTGGTGTTGGATATCCTTCGATTCTAGCTGCGAAATTCAACTTTCTTTCCACAGTGGGGTGGGGTTGAGGAAGAGGGGAGGGGTATATGCTTTTGCTCTATTCGAAATGAGTTTTGACAGTCCATTTCAAAATCATTTCGAGAGTTAGATTAGGCTCGTTAGGAGCTTAAAGCGATTGGTGTCTTACGAGATATATGGCACTCTTGAATAATGTAAATTTAACATGTGACGCGGCGTTATACTTTAATATTGTTTCTCAGAAAATAGAAAGAAAAATGGTGTCCTATAGTTATATTTTTTATCCTCCTTACTTTTTTGTGTTTTAAAATATTTAATGGGTTAAAAGCATGCAAACACATTTTCTATTTTTTTTAAGTTAATATTGCCCATAAAATGCAATGATCAATTTATTCTAGGTTATTTTTTTCTCGTTTGTTGCGAAAATGCCTGCCTTTTTACAATTATTTGCAATCGTCTTCTACCAAGGTTTGGGTTTTCGATCACAATTGGTCGTTTGTCTGCTTTCTTGGCCTTGAAAGTAATAAAATTCAAGGCTTTTCGATCCAGGGTTGCCGTTCGGCATCAGATGCTTTCTAACTGACTTAGTCATTGAACTACGTTAGATTGCCTTTCATTGAAATAAAAATAAATAAAGAATAATGATAATAAAATGATGGCAGATGGCTTCGTGGAAGAAGGGTAGGGTGGCTTTATTGCCAACGCTATGCGCTAATAATTTGTTTACACTCTGGTTATCTTCAATGTAGGGATTTGAGGATTCAATAATATTAACATCACTATCTCTAACCAACACCGAGTTGCTCTGTGCCTCTTCAAGATTATTAGTTTTTTAACAAATTTTTTACATCCCCTTGACTATTCGAATATCTCGAAATGTGATTATTCCCAATTTATTTATTTATATTTATTTATATCAAATGGCAGGCGTTTTGATAGTTATCATTAGCCCCTTAGTTGACTTCAAGCTTCACAGAGGGGAGGAGGAACATCAGAGTGAGAAGAATTTGGGAGGGGGAATACAAGAGTGATTCACTGATGTAAAAGAGAGAGAAAGGGTAAGATGAGTACTGTGTAGGGGTCGAATATGA